TGTCACCATGCGCCAAGCTGGAGTGCAGTGGCGCGATCTGAGCTCACTGCAACTTCTGCCTCCCGGATTCGGGCAATTCTCCTGCCTCAGCCTCCTGAGTAGCTGGGACTACAGGCGCATGCCACCACACCCAGCTAATTTTTGTGTTTTTTTTAGTACAGACAGGGTTTCACCATGTTGGCCAGGATGGTCTCGATCTCTTAACCTCATGATATGCCAGCCTCGGCCTCCCAAAGTGCTGGGATTACAGGTGTGAGCCACCACGCCCCACCTTCAGAGCAATGATCTTTTAAATACTAGTAATTCTGAAAATGTCCCCAGATAAAATGTTGCTGATTGTTTAAGAAATAAAGTGTACAGGAGGTAGAACCAATGAATGGCTAAAGTGAAAGAATTTGAAGATCAGCAGAGTCCAAAGGGGAAAGCATCAATGTGGCCAGTGTGATGTAAAGGACAGTACTACGAACATTACACATCTGAAGATAATATAGAGCAAAGAGAATGGTAAGTCAAGCTCAACCCTTCATTCCAAACTTTTTTTCATTGCAGAAAGCAACTAAAGGACTGCAAGAAAAGGGTGTGGTCAGCCACTGCAAATTCTGAAAAATATAATAGTAGAGTAAGACACTGTCTCTGCCACTGGGGGAAAAACTGATATATATTTTTAAGTTTTCTCTAATCAAATAACATTTTGCTCAAGGAAATTCGTTTGGGTGGTCAATTGGTTCTGTTGACACTCAATATAAGGCAATTGTTATTTTTTTATTTGAAATTCAGTCATAATGCTCATTTACTCTGACGGGTAGTGCTGACCAGAGCACTTCATCAGGGCAGAGGCATACAACAATTACCAGCCCAACAGCCAAACAAGAACACAATCCCATTCACAATAGCCCCTAAAAGAATAAAATACCTAAAAATACAGCTAATCAAGGAGGAGAAAGTTCTTTACAAAACACTGGTCAAATAAATCAGACATGACACAAACAGAAAAACCTCCCATGCTCATGGACGGGAAGAATCAAGGTTAATAAAATGGCCATGGCCATGATGTCCAAAGCAATTTACAGATTCAATACTATTCCTATCAAACTACAAATAATATTCTTCATATAATTAGGAAAAACTATTTTATAATTCATGAACCAAAAAGAGCCCAAATAGCCAAAGCCATTCTAAGTAAAAAGAAAAAAACTAAAGGTATCACATTACCTGACTTCCAACTATACCACAGAGCAGTAGTAACCAAAACAGCATGGTGCTGGTACAAAAAGAGACACATAGACCAATGGAACAGAATAAAGAGCTCAGAAATAATGCTGCACACATGCAACCTTCCAATTTTTGACAAAGTTGATAAAAAAACAAGTAATGGGGAGAGGACTCCCTATTCAATGCGATAGGGTCCTGGGATAACTGGCAAGCCATATGCAGAAAATTGAAACTGGACAACCTAAAAAATATATATCATTCTGGACATAGGACATGGAAAATATTTCATGACAAAAATACCAAAAGTAATTGCAACAAAACAAAAATTGGCCAGTGGGGCCTAATTAAACCAAAGAGCTTCTGCAGAACAAAAGAAACTAAAAATGAGAGAAAATATATGCATGCTATACTCTGGAAAATAGTCTAATATCCAGAATCTATAAGGAACTTAAATTAAAAAGCAAGAAAACAAAAATCCCATTACAAAGGGGACAAAGGATATGAAAAGATGCTTTTCAAAAGAAGACATTCATGCAGCCAACAAGCATATGAATAAAAGACTCAACATCACTAATTGTTAGAGAAATTCAGATCAAAACCACAATGAAATACTGTCTCATACTAGTCAGAATGTCTGTTATTAAAAATCAAAAAATACACTGCTAGTGGAATGTAAATTAGATCAGTGTGGACAACAGAATCCAGAGCCTGGATTTTTCAACCACTACACTATGCCACCTTTTTACTGAAGTATTTACATTGAGAGATAATGAACAAACATCAGTGTTGCCATCATTGCTTTTATATTTTTTGGAAATTCTGTTTTATAATTATCTTCCATATCATCCCACTACATCAAACAAGGCAGCTGATCAAGTAAGGGCTAAGAATCTATGAGTCTGTGGTCCCTTCCAGCTGTAACATAATAGGATAACATTTTAAATTGTATGGGTTTTTTTTGTTTGTTTGTTTTTTTGGTGAATGAAAGAAGACTCTTACAGAACTTTGAAACTTTAATTCATAACATGTTTTATCAAATAATAATTCAAGTGCTTTATAAACTTTCAGGAATCTACATTTTCACTTCTTTTCTTCTAGTTCAAAGCAGTCCAAGTCAGGAATTAGAACACACTATTTAAAATGGGAACAGACAATACAAATACATATACAATACATACAGCATACAATATAATACATGACAGACAATACAAAAAATAATCTGGAAAATTGTCAAGATAATGCTTAAGCAGAACCAAAATCCAAAAGAATTACTTAGAACATGTTTTCATAAGTTGAATTTATTTAACTTATTCTAAGTTAACTGGTAGAGGCAATATTTTGTGGAAAGTCTTATGTTAAATGCCTAGATTTATCATTTTGAAAAGATACTGAGTGAGCTATTAAAACTTTTGCATTTTAGTTTTCTCATTTATAAGGTAGAAATAAAAATACTGATCTTAAAATATTTGGGGGAAGATTAAAAGCAATGCTTATATAAACTGCCGGACACATGGCAAACCTTAATACATACTAATTCAGTACTCCTTTAAATTTACATATCAACACTACCTGATATTACTAATCTTTCCTTCACTCTTTCTGATTTGTGACTAAGAGGGAAAATTTTTATTTAAAGAATAAATGAGAAAAGTTATCTGTGGTTAACATAGAACAACAGTAAAATCAGTCATTAGAAATCTTAAAATTATGCAGCTTAATTCAGATTAATAAATAACCCATCAATTTTTTTAATCTTTTGTAAACAATTGTCCTCAATCTTCACAAATATCAAACACTGTAAATAGAAATGTGTTCATTTATGACTGTCTGCCAAATTAATTGAGTACAACTGCAATTGAGTAGAAAAATAAAAATATTACTTACTGTATGTGGCACTTGGCAATTTCAAAATGTGAAAACATTCATCCTCAAAATGCCTCTACAAAAATGTTATCTGTGGAGGAAGAAAAAAAATAATTCAAAAGAGTAAGCAATTTGTCAAGGTCATAGGAAAAACTAATCCAGACCAACACACACTTAAACACTATACACTGTAACATACTAAAATAGGTTTTGCAAAATGTAGACTACACATCTAGCAAATATAATGGGCTGATGAACAGAAATATTCCCAACTATATGCAAATACTCCAAAACATCAGTCAAGGAGGACACTTTGAAGAAAGAAGTAAGAAAAGTCTGCATATTAGCTTCAGAATTATATGCAAGAAACGCAGTGCCCCCAGAATACTGGCAGAAGAGCATAAAAGTAATTGTAAAATATGAGATGTTCATAAATAAACATATTTGGAGAGCTGAGGTGACTACTCAAATATTTCAAGTTTTTAAAAGGTACTATTATCTGATATATGAGGATCACTGAGTTAGAAGAGAATTTTGTTTGATTTATCCAGAGAGTTGCACCAATTCACTTTGTAATTGCATTTCAATTCTAACTGAAAATGATGCACTGAGAAAAATGCACGCATGAGACCTGCATACCTCACAAAAATACGTAAACAGATCCATTCTCTGTGTTTCAGAATATCAATGTGATTATAAGGAGAGAGTGATTTAATCAAGCATTATTAATTAATTTGTTTGTTTTAGAGCAGGGTTTTGAAAGGGGATATTGATTTTGAATCTCATAATATTTCAACTTAAATGGGTTTTATGCCACTGAGTATACACAATGTTATAAAACAGCCATTCAAAGAAAAAAAAAATAAAATACAACCTAATGAAAATTATCAGCCTGGTCAACATAGTGAAACAACCTCTTTACTAAAAACACAAAAATTAGCTGGGCATGGTGGCAGGTGCCTGCAGTCCCAGCCACTCATGAGGATGAGGCAGAAGAATCACTTGAACCCAGGAGGCAGAAGGTGCAATGAGCTGAGATCGTGGCAATGCACCCCAACCTGAGAGACAGAGTGAGAATACATCTCAAAAAAAAATTATACATAACCCTTTAAAAATACAGTGTGTTCTTTCAGACAGATCAGACACACTATGAACAAAACAAACAAAAATTCTCTTAAGTACCAAACATCTTTAAAGGAATATTATTTCTCAGTAACAAACAGAATTTCTGTTCAGAGAGATTTGGGTCTTTGTGGTACTAAGCAGAAATTCCAGCTTAATAACACAGAAGTTGTGCTTTTGTGTTCACCAAAATCAACTGTAACCAAATCAACAATTCAACATTCAGAATAAACATTTTGAATAGAAAATCTAATTTATTTTGCTCTAGTATGTTAGAGACACTGGGATTGCACAGGTCTCTACCTAGCCCATGACTAAATGATTTTACTAACATTTTACACAGAACCTCTCAAACATATAGTTATCAAGCTTATAGTTAAATGAAAAAAGTAAATCAAGAAATGCCCAAGAAATTTTGTATTTTCTAAATTTAAAACTTAGAACATAAAAAGATATATATTCATCTTCACATATAATTCAATTGAATTATAAAGTTATAATAAGTAGCAGATTTCTATATTTCTTCATACTTTAGCATATTCATCCTCATGGACAAGAAGACTGAAGTGAACACTAATTACATGATTTCTCAATCTGACACAGCAAACAGGAGGTAACCCTGGGCTCAAAACCAGATTTTCTGACCTGGGTTTCATCTTACTACAATATCTTCTAGTTTCTAGGTTGCATCCAAAGCAGAGGTTGAACACTGGGGACCAGAAAACCAAATCTGGCTTACTGGTGCATTTCGTCTGCCCCAACCATGGTTTTTAAAATATTACCCAATATTCAAAAGCAGGGTATTTCTCAAAAAAAATCCTCATATCTAGCTTTTTTTAAAAAGTGAAGATTCTTACAAGGCCAGACTCAGGCATGAAACAGAAAAATGGATGCCCCTCTTCTCTTAGACAGCACAAATTTTCATACTCATCTACTTTCTACTTGTATAAACCATCTTTTACTCTGCCAGTTTTAAACACTAGAGTGTTTTGTACCAAATCCAAAACCTCCTTTACTAAGAATTGCCATCATTTTTCTTTTTTGCTGTGAAACTGAAGGATTTACATTATTATTCTCAAAAAATGTACTTCGTCAATTGAAACAACCACTTAAAATACTACATTTCACTGGATTCCTATAATCAGGTGCTATTTATTAGTTATCTTATTTTAATCTATATACGTTTTAAAATGTTGTGGGTTTGAATTTCCATTTTTTAAATATATATTTGATAATTTTCATAGCTAAGGGAAAATTACAAACATAACTGATTAGTGCATCATCAAGTGAAAGAATGAGTGATCTCAAATAATGATTTTACATTTACTATAGACATGTCTATCAGAGAGCTATTTCCTGGATTGATAGGTATAATAACTATGATATATTAAAAACTTCAATTTAATTGGATAAACTGGATTAAGAGAACACTAACAGCTAAAGGTAGAGTCATGCAATCCACAAATTTTGGTTAAATAATGGCATACTGCAATTGTCTTCAAATATCAACACATTTTACAGAAAGTATAAAAATATGGACTGGCATTTTGAGGAAATCAGGTAGGAATCACCTAAATCTGAATCTGTTCACATATCAAAAAAAAAAAATACATACACCTAACAAAAACAAATAACACACAAATCCTAGTCCTTCAGCAAAACTGGAAGTAGGAGAATAATAAACATGTCAGATTATATGTAAATAGAAAATTAGACACCAGTTTATAAAAGAGTTATCTTTCAAGCTCCCACTACATATACAGATATACGGGGTCCAGAAAAACTGTGAGAAAGCAGATAAAGGAAACCAAAATTCCTAAGGGTGACATGAAAATCGCTCACAGAAAATCCATTTAAACTATGAAAATTCCAAAAAATTATCCTGGCATATTAGAACATGGACACAGAAAGAAGACTTAAAAATATATGAAATTTGAGGAGACATTTTTTTTTTCTGGAAGAAAAGCAAGTAAGGCATTTATCAAATGATGGGGATATGTCAAAAGAACACAAGTCCTAGCTTCAAGAGGCTCTTACTGGTCTAATCTGAGACAATTGGGAAATAAAAATAAATAATTATTGTAATGGGTTAAAATTTATTACAGAAAATATAATAAATGAAATTAAGAAGGGAAAACTCTTTCTGCAAGTATCACCTAAAAAGTACAGACTGACTGATGGAGTTAGAAAATCACCATAATATTTTAAGTAAATGATTCAGTAAAGAAAACATTAGTGCATCAGCACCAGTGCATGAAAGTGTGATAACAAACACAGAATTTCCAGTCGAAAAGTATCTTCTCACAAAGTACTTATTAACTACAATGGGGAAAATAGTAACTAGCAGTGGGGTAACTTGGCAGAGACCACCTTAACAAATTGATCAAAGAAGACATCATTAAAAATCAGACAAAAACGACATGCCTCCAAGTATCATCCACTTGAGAAAAACACATCACTTTTGTTGTATGCCTGCCAAAAACGCAAAACCAGAATTAACCATTAGGAAACATCCAGTAAAGCCAAACTGAGAATATTGCACCTAATATCTTATCTGAACTCTTTAAATGTCCAAGTAATTAGACTGAGGATATGTTCCAGATAAAAGGACTTTTAAAGATAAGATAACAAAATATACCTGGGATCCTAGATATATACTGTGAGTTGCACAATAAAAGTAATATTGTGTCAATACTGAATATCTTTAAAGGTTATTCTCTGGATATAAAGGACAATGTCCTTATTCTTAGGAAATGTACACTTAAACACTTCAGTTAAGGAAGCATGAGTCTGCAACTTATTCTCAAATGATTCGAGAAAAAAATGTGGTGTGTGTGTGTGCACATGTGCACACACAGGTATAGAGTAAGAAAGCACACACAGAAATTATGCAAAAGAGGCAAAATGTAAACAACTCTTGAATCTGGACAAAAGGTATTCTTAAACACAATTCTTGAAAATTTTCTGTACATTTGAAACTATTTGAAATTATGCAACAAGGTAAAAATAAATAAAAAATAAAATCTTTTATTTCAATCTAGACATTTATATTTAGGAATCACAGAATAATAGTCAAACATATATCAAGAAAGTCTTTTTCAGAAGAGAACAACAGACACTGGGGCCTAATTGAGGCTGAAAGGTGGGAAGAAGGTGAGAATCAAAAAACTACCTATCAGGTACTATGCTTATTACCTGGGTGACAAAATAATCTGTATACCAAACCCCCGTGACACACAATTAACCTATATAACAAATCTTCACATGTACCCTTGAAGCTAAAATGAAAGTTAAAAATAAATAAATCATAAAAAAATTTAAAGGTTAAAAAATAATTCAAAATCATCCATGTTTTTGTATAATTAGTAGAGTAAGAAATCCAGTGATAACTTACATACTATATATCATATAGTGTTTATTTATAATTTATATATTCATTTATATTAAATAATTAGATTAAATGAGACATATATATTTATTCACAACTTACATATTGATATATACCCATTAAATATATAAAATAAAGGAGCACAAGAACAAATGTAAAATCTAGTTTAGAGTTTTAAAATAAACCACACAAACAACACTACATTATAGTAGCAAATTAAGCAATGTAAAGTTAAATAATAAAATGATAATCAAAAAATAAATGAAAGTAGGACTTCAAGGAAAAAAGACAAAAGGTTATCAGTCTTTAAAGATTAGCAATATAAATGTTTTTTTTTCTTATACAATTAGTTTCCTAAATTAAAAGTTGCAAATTCTTTTAAATTCAGGAAAAAATAAAAATATAAAATCATCCTTAATTTCAGAAACAATATAACTATTCTGTTCTTATAGAATATTACTTAAAGAATTATATAATATAAACTATATTATGATTATATTCTCTTTTTACTTAATTGTTAATTTCTTTGTATAACAATATCATCATTTTTATTATTACACTACAAGATCACTTCACTGATT